TAGTTGTTGTTGTGACGAGGGATACTGGGGTCGGTGGTTGTTGTTGTTGTTGTTGTAGTTGTTGTTGTGACGAGGGATACTGGGGTCGGTGGTTGTTGTTGTTGTTGTTGTAGTTGTTGTTGTGACGAGGGATACTGGGGTCGGTGGTTGTTGTTGTGTTTGTTTTTCTTTTTTTTTTCTTTTTTTTTTTGAGGGGAGGGAGGTGGTGTGGAGAAAGGGGAATGTGGTCATTTGATATTTTTATGGAGTTGTTTTGAGTTGTTGGGGAAATGTTTTGTTGTTGTTTTCGTAGATTTTAAAAATAATTTTCTATGGGTAGGGGTTAATGTTGAAATTTATTTACATTTTTATTAGGGAAGCTGCTTGTATGAAATATAGGCAATTCTAACCTAATGTGTATTTGTGTGGTATAAAACAGTGTATCTCCCCACTACGCTGAACCTTTTATGATTTACTTAACGGCAACAGAGGATGAAAAAGTTATTTAAGTTTTAGTAATGTTTTACGGCACTTGCAACACAATAAGGTCATGTAAGTGTTAAAGATTAGACGTGTTACAAGAGAGTAACAAACACAAAAAAGAAGGAGGAGAGATAAGGACGGTAGATATTTGATAGGAAAGAAGGAGCAAACCACACCAGAGCACCCGCCATCCACCCACTGATGAAAAGGTAAAAGTATAAGTAAGTTAGTAACGTACGTGTACGTCTGTCGTCCAGGTACCCGTGGACTATGTGAAGATCGACATCGAGTACAGCGAGTGGGCGGTGCTCAAGACAGCGCTGCGCGAGGGCTCGCTGCAACATGTCAAACAGCTGGGCTTTGAAATGCACACCCGCCGACTGCTGCACCCTGGGAAGCGGCCGCGCGACGAGGAGAAGCTGGACTTTGTGCACATGTACGAGACGCTGCGCCAGCTGGAGATCGTGGGCTTCAGGAAGTTCAACTACCGCAAGAACCCGTTCGGGAACTACTACTCCAACCACACGGGGAAGGAAAGGTCGTGCTGCTACGACCTTCACTACGTCAACTCGGACTTCTTCGGGGACAACATGACGGTGGTTCACACACGCGACTCCAAGATGTTCCACTGACCCATATACCCATATATTGACCGCCACGATGACCCATATATTGACCACCGCGATGACCCATATATTGACCGCTGCGATGACCCATATATTGACCGCCGCGATGACCCATACACTGACCGCTACGATGACCCATACACTGACCGCCGTATATATATGGTTGCTTTTAAGCACAAGTGGGCTATCCCGAAAAATGCTGTTTTGAGAAAATCAAAGGTAAAGTTTTTGCCCCTTGTTCAGTTTCTTCAAAAGACAAGGAGAGTTTTCTCTATAACCAAACAAATATACACACCAATGAAACCAAACTTCTCCTATAGGTAGGGCAATGCCCACTATTCGTGTAAGACAAGATTTCTGGAAACCCCCGAAATCTGGGTTAGCCCGCTTGTCCTTAAAAGCGACCTTATATATAATATTATGCCTTTGTGCATCTGTGATGTGACATTTTCTCTATGCAGTACATATCTACAGATCTATCCAGCTCAAGATGTTTTGCTGGTTCAACTTGCTGGAATCTTGAACAATTCCTCCTGTTCTAATTTTGGAACACTAGTGAGTGTGTTGGAAGTTTGGCAAACTGTACATGATCATTTTACCAGGGTTGATGTCCCCAAGTTTTATCTCTATAATAGAGCCTATTATACGTACATAATATTGTAGAATCCCCCACGGCTTGTTTCCTCTATAAGTTGGAGTAATGAGGTACATGATGTGCATGGTCGGTGGTCTAGTGGTTAGGCTGTCAGGTTTGTGACAGAAAGGTCATGGGTTTCAGCCCTGTCAGGGGCCCCGACGTTGTGTCCCTGGGAAAGACACTTGACACAAACTTTCTCCACTTCACCCAGGTGGGAATCGGAATCTTGTCATAGACAGCGAAAGATTTTTATCGTTTTATTAGTGCTTGAAGCCTTGGTCAGCAGCTTGCACTGTATGCTTCCCGGGATGCCAAAAGTGTTTCTGAGTGTTCCCAGGTCTGCTAGGGTTATATTAATGTACGTCATTGTAAATTTGTAAGGCGTATAGAGCATGCTATAAAAAGCCTGGACATATGCACGATTTAAGTGAAGAAATGCCAAATTATTGTTATTATATTTTTCTAGAATTGGTTTTATCTTGTATTGTAGGGAGTTGTGAGTGATACGTACTTTACTTTTCCAGCTTTCGTTTTATCTGTGAATGTTACGTATGTTATTTTTCCCGCATTTGTTTTATCTCTGCGCTAGAAGTATGAAATTTTTACAATGTTAAATCTCTGAATCATATGTCATGTACTTAATTTTAACACTTTGCGTTTATTTTCTCCGCGTTGTGAGTTCTCACATAGGTAATTTTGACAATGTTTGTTTCATCTCTGACTCCCGATTCATACATTGGGGAAAAAAACTATGTATGTGAGAACTCACAACTGGTAGAAAATTCCTTCCAGAAATTGTTTTTTTTATCTTTGAATCTGAGGTATGTACGTAATTTTTACAGCACTCGTATTAATCTCAGAGTTGTGAGTTGTACGTACATAATTTTTACTGTGTTTGTTTTATCTTTGAGTAGTATGTACCGCAATGTAATGTACGCAATTTTTAAGTATGTTTGTTTTATATCTGGGTTTAAAAAAAAATATTTTTACGTTTGTTACATAACAGTCACTGAATTATAATTAGTCTAGCATGCACATAACGTACAGATTTTTCATCTCCGGAATATTTTCTTATACATGTTGTTGGGTTTTTTTATACTTTACCCACAATGCGAAATTTGTACACAGGTCCCGATTATTTTTTTCGCCTTGAAACACCTACATAGCGAAGTTCGTACAAATAGGAAACATTTCTGCGCACTGCCGATTTCACTATGTGCATGCTAGACTATATATATATGTATAGAAATAGTTTTGATACAAGACGTATGAAACAATATTATGATCTGTTCATTTTTTTGTCCCCACACGTGTGTTTCCACAGGGTTAAAAAAGTTCAAGATTTTTGAGTAATGGATCAGCACCTCTATATATAGTGTGTGGTCGCCACCTCTATATAGTGTGTGGTCAGCACCTCTATATATAGTGTGTGGTCAGCACCTCTATATATAGTGTGTGGTCAGCACCTCTATATATAGTGTGTGGTCGCCACCTCTATATATAGTGTGTGGTCAGCACCTCTATATATAGTGTGGTCGCCACCTCTATATATAGTGTGTGGTCAGCACCTCTATATAGTGTGTGGTCGCCACCTCTATATATAGTGTGTGGTCAGCACCTCTCTAGTGTGTGCTCAGTGATTTTGACAATTTCCCCCATAACTACCAACATGTACAATGTAGGCTGTGGGAATGTCCCTTCCTTCTACACCAGGATGCTATTTTTACACCTCCACATCATTCCAAACTTTTTTACTTTGATAATAGTAATTTAGTATTAGTAATACATGTATATTTTATTGTTAATATATAAAATAGGCCTACAAAAGATGTTCTTTGCCAAAGTTGTTCTAAATGTCAGCTCTTATATATGTATGTGTGTATTCTATAGTGCACATGGGAATAAAAGATTTCGAATGAATAAAAAGACGCTTTCTAATTTCCATAATGTGACCTAGATTGTATTGCTAGGTGCACGAGACATTCACAGCTGACTGGGAGACATTGGGCTGTCCTCGTGGTTTTATGCACCCCGCATAATTTGATCATTTTTTGCATAATTTCTGATGATTTTCCTTTATCATTCTTTGTTAAAATTAACAGAATTGCACAATTTCACGTTTTTTTGGGCTCAGTTTGCATAATTTCAGAATTTCTTTTGCACAAAACCGCGGGACAGATTGGAGGAAGAACAGACACACAGCGGTCAATACCAATACTACATGGCAAGCTGCGCACATCCACCAGTGGAAATGGAAGCTTTTATTATACCCTAACTCTGGCCTAACTGACTAACTCTGGCAAGTGGTCTCAACAGGAATGGCAAGGCTTATCAGCCAAAACGTGCACATGCTTTACAAATCAAATTTATGAGCTTGCATTTGTATCACATTTCTGACCCAACAGAAGTATTTTCTGAAAGGTTATTGAATGAACTTTTATATTATTTTGACCCATCAAAAGTATTTTCTGAAAGGTTATTGAATGAACTTTTATATTATTTGCCTTTGAAAATAAGATGTGATTTAATTTACCAGGGGTTATGTAACTTTGAAATCCAAGATGGCTGACAAAAAAAATGTACATGCTCATGAGCATCAATATATTCACCAATCTAATGTACCGTAAGTTATGAAAAATGTGAGATAGCAGAAATATAGGTTTCTCAATAACCTTTCAGAAAATGTATAGTTCTATAGGTTTGAGAAGAACAGGTAATGAGGTATGGCTGTTTCGATTCGGCATGTGTTGAGCGTAACCTATAGTTACTGATACTGGCAACTTTCACACCATGCTCAACAGAAAAACACTCTGAGTACAACCATAATATGATATATATGTGAAAGGTGCAGACAAAATGTGTTGCTTCTCGGATTCCATAGCCTTATTGAAATAGATACATCAATCACGCTAGGTGAAGATTTGACAATGTATATGTATGAAATAATAAAAAGCATGTTATACTTTAAAAATATGGCATCAATAGAAAATCTACAATTTTGTCCCCCGTGTCGATTTTTGGCCAATATTTCCATTTGTGGATTGCGAGAAGTAACTCATTTTGTCAGCATTCCTCACGTATGGTTTTCAGCAATCTGCTGGTAGTCTGTCATAAGTAGTATAGCAAAAGGAACCTACTTAACTCTATAGCTCTCCTTTTTCTGCTTCTCTTCCACTCCCAAAGGTAGTAGAATCTAGTGTTCCATTTGAAAGAGAAGTTGGGGCAGGATGAGAACTGGTATCCCCATTGTCTGTCAGATCTAATCCCAATTCTTGACTGAACACCAATAAATCCACCACTATCACTGTCTGAATTACTTTTCCTAGTCAATTCACTTTTCAAATGTATCCAACAAAGATAGATTTTGGGCCTTCGCCCCACATGAGTAGCACAAGAGATAGATCTACACTGGCTTGTGTGTTCTCACCAACAAGCTGTCAAAACATCCTTCTTCCCCTAAGAGAGAATGGTAGAAATATTCTGATTGGTTGGAGGTTAGCCTTATGGCCAATCAGAAATCACTTTAGGGAACCCCAAATATTAAAATTTAATTGGAAGGCAGAAGCAGCAGTTTACTATATGGTCCTATGAGATCTGCCCTGCCAGTCTCATGGCAGGAAATCAGCCAAACTAAGCAGCCCTTGCCAGAGTTACGGTTAAAGGCTCAAAAATGGAAACTTTTTTTCTGCCTCAATAGGTCTCACCATCAGAGAGTCGTCTAGGTCCGTATATCTTCTGTTTCTTTTTTTCTTCGAAATATTCTCCTCTGCAGATGCATTGGTCGTGATCTGCCATTATGAAGGACAAACTACGACAATTCCTGTTATCATCATCATTATCTTTATCATAACTCAGAAGAGACTGGTGTCTGTGGTATAGCAGTCGGGCGCTTCAGTCCCATACAGGAGACCCGGGTTTGATTCCCGGGTGGGGAGAATTTTGATGGAGTATCGAGGTCTTTCTGCTCGTTGGCCCTGACACAGGGTCGGAATCCTGCCTCCTACGTGGTCTAAATTGTGTTGATTGGAGGGTAAAAACAACTACATTATGAAAAAAACAAAACAAGAGAGAGTGAAGAACGTAAAGAGGAGAGGGTTAACCAAGACACAGACAAACACAGCAGAAAAAGTGTCGAGCAACGTTTATTTTATACATCTGTTGGGGGGAAATGGAGGGAAAAAAGAACCAAACCCCCCCCCCCCCCCCCCCCCCCCCCATACCATACACACACACACATCATCTGTGTCATTCTCTGAAAGCTCAAGTCTAGACTTTTTCTAACTTACTTCATTTTTAAATTGATTATTTTTTATTATTATTTTTTTTTCCCATTTGTTTAGAAAGGATTTCCCCATAATTTTGTATAGGTTTAGTAAGAGTTTTACAGCTCTTTCCACACAAGTATGTTGTATAAGTCCTGAAAATTATGTGTTACTACTAGAGTAACAAAGAAAAGGAGGAAAAGAGATAAGGACGATAGATGTTTGATAGGAAAGAAGGAGGAGAGATAAGGAAGATAGATGTTTGATAGGAAAGAAGGAGGAGAGATAAGGAAGATAGATGTTTGATAGGAAAGAAGGAGGAGAGATAAGGACGATAGATGTTTGATAGGATAGAAGGAGGAGAGATAAGGACGATAGATGTTTGATAGGATAGAAGGAGGAGAGATAAGGAAGATAGATGTTTGATGGGAAAGAAGGAGCAAACCCCACCAACCATCCGCTTTTTTGATGATCTTATCGAAGATTCTGAAGCTTAAGCCAAAAGAATTTGTTAGAGAAAAGAGAAGCATATCGCCAAGGTAACAATCATTTAGTGTCGGCGTAGAAAGCAAAACAGATAGACAGAGACAACAGAGGGAAAGAAAAGAAGCTGAACCTACCAGAAACACCCTCCAACCACCCCCTCACATGTTTCGAGAGTTACATCCAACACAAAATCAACGCCCAGGCAATCAGAAACTAAAAACAGAAAAGAAAAAGACAATCCCCAACTTTCGCCGGAAATGTTCTCCAAGTGGAACTGTAGAGAAGAAAATGTATGATGGGAAGGAAATCAAAGCTGTACGACCCACGTGGAAAACTGGCCACATTTCTAAATCTGTTCTCTCTTCTCTTTTCTCCACGGGGCAGCGCGCAGCAAGGTCCCATCACAGCTGACTGCCACCCACGGGAAAAAAAAATCTGGATGCCTACACACACACGTGCATGTACATACACATGCACATAAGCACTCTCGCACATACACACGCGATCAAAGTCACACTGTACAAGAGTACACACAATCAGACACACAACGGTACACACAATCGGACACACAACGGTACACACACTCCTAGTCCCGGTTCCCCTCAGTGGCTCTCTCCTTTCTTGCCCGCCACCTGTGAACACAGAGAGGGAAAATATGACGGTCAGTTCGGGTCAAGTAAGCATTTTACAGCACTTGCAACACAATTCTAAGGTTATAACAGAGGCGAAGATAAGAGGCATTGAAGAGAGTGACAAACACAAAGAAGGAGAGACAAGGATGATAAATGTTTGATAAGAAATATGGATCACCCAATCAAAGCATCTGCCGACTACCCCCAGTTTGGTTAGAGTCTTTGTACAAGTTTTACATTTTTGAGTTTGAGTAAAGGGAAACAACACACAACGTCTAGTCATAATATAGTGCAGGTAAGAAGCAAGACTGACAGAAATGGGAAGAAAAGAAGTCGGACCTACCAAACACACACACATACACAAATGACTGACATCTGCCGTGTAGCAGTCAGTTTTGCTATCGTATGCAGGAGACCCAAGTTCCATTCCAGAGTGGGAAGAAACTTTTAACGAGTATCTTGATCTTTCTGCCGGGCTGTTATATCCCTCTTAGCCCGGGTTGCCCGGAAAGACAGGGTTGGAAATTCACCTCCAAAGGGTCTAAATTGTGTCGATGGGGACATAAAAACACCAACGTTATAATAATATAATCTTTAAAAAAAACCCACACACAGACGCTTGAATTCGGCCATGTTTGTGGTACTGGTCGGTGAACCAACCATGCTGAGGTGGTCCAAACACCTAACCACACATACACACACACACACAGACAGATGGACGTACCCGCTTGAATTCGGCCATGTTTGTGGTACTGGTCGGTGAACCAATCACGCTGAGGAGGTCCAAACACCTAACCACACATACACACACACACACAGACAGATGGACGTACCCGCTTGAATTCGGCCATGTTTGTGGTACTGGTCGGTGAACCAATCACGCTGAGGTGGTCGATCTGCGTCGTCTCTGCACCCGTCTGGTTGTCCTTCACAAACAGCTGGCAACAGTCGCCGGGGGAGACAAGATTTGATTTGATATTACAAAAAATTATTTTTTAATGGAGAAACTTGTTCGTTTGTTTGTTTGAGAATGGACAAACTTGATCGTTTGATTTCATTGTTTTAATAAGCGTTTTACAGCACTTAAAACACAATTAGCTTGTCTAAGCGCTGATCATTAGAGGAGTTACAAGAGATTAACAAACTCACACAAAAAAAGGAGAGATAAAGACAATAAATATTTGATAGGAAAGAAAAAGCGAACCAAACAAGAGCACCCACTAATCACCCATAACTGTTTGTTAGTCTCAATAAGGAGAAATTTGTTCATTTGTTTGTCTTTGTTTTAGCAGAGGTTTTACGGCGCTCGCAACTGCATAAGGTCATATGAGCACTTATCTGTGATTATAAGAGAAACTTTCTTGTTCATGCAAAAATAAAATCTTGACTGTTCGTTTATTTATTGAGCTATAAGAAATGTATTAGTTTGTTCATATGAGTAAAGGAAACTTGTTCGTTTGAATAGAGAGAAACTTTTGTTTGTTTGTTTGAACAAGAGGAAGGCTGTCTGACTATAAATAGAAACTTGTTTGTTGACTTTATGGAAAATACAGACACAATAGACAGAAAGACAGTGACAGGTTCATACTGACCGTGAGGCTCAAGACATTCTGCAGCTTGACGTACTTGAGAGGAACCAGTGCTCCCTCCTGGAGGTCAGCGGGGGTCAACCTGGGGGGGGAGAAATATTGGAACAGTGTGAGTGTTTTATGGCCGCATCCACACAAATTAGGTTTTTAATCCTTAAATATTAACATTGCTCAGATAAAATGAGGCTGTGTTCGTGTGTGAAGTGCATTTTCTCTCTCTCTCTCTGTAAACATGCATGTGCGTACAGACTCTGTGTGTGTGTATGTGTGTACAGACTGAGTGTGTGTATGTGTGTACAGACTGAGTGTGTGTATGTGTGTACAGACTGAGTGTGTGTATGTGTGTACAGAC